GTGCATGGTCTAAGGGGTTTCAGTGTTTATCAAGGTAGGTATGGCGCTACATGTAGGGATTTGGAAAGGGAGGTTATTCCGTTGTGTAGGGATGAGGGAATGGGGGTTTGTGTTTGGGGGTGTTGGGGAATGGTTAGTATATATATCCCCCCTATCTTTTTGTTTTTTTCCTTTCTTCTTTTTTTCCCCTTTGGGTTTGGGGGTATGTGGTTGTGTAGTGGTTGATTAAGGTTTGCTAATTTTGTATTAATTATCATGGATAGGGTATATACGTCCCCCCAACAAGGACTCTGCTCAGAAGAGAGTTCGAAACTCCGCCCACCTACTTACCGGCCACGAAGAACAGGTGTCGTTGGTGTTAGATACCGTTGCGAAGCGTCATGGGGAGGGGGTTTCTGTGACTAGCGTGGCTATTGCCTACGTGTTGCAGAAAACACCCTACCTTTTCCCCATTATCGGCGGGCGAACGGTCGAGCAGCTCGAGGAGAATGTGCAGGCGTTGAGTTTGGAACTTACTGCGGAAGATGTGAAGGATATTGATGCTGCGTATCCCTTTGACTTGGGGTTCCCGCATAGTTTTCTCTGTCCTGGGGGGTATCGTGATGGTGGGGGGTGTCCGGGACCTCAGGATGTGGCGTTTTCGAGGACGATGGGGGAGTTTGATTATGTTGAGGGGGGGAGGGCGATTAGGGCGGTTAGGGGGTGAATATGACTATGTTGGGATATTGGGAGGGAGGGGGATGGAGGGTGGGTTGTGTGTATGTGGTTGATGATGGGGAATGAGCTCAATTATAATAGTGGGTGTGGTTGTTGTATCTTATGTTATATTTTCTCAGGGATTAGCAGAATGGTATTATACTATCCACAACAATGAACATTAACCGTATGTGAAAAAATGAAGCCATATGCAGAACCATAACAGGTGATCAGCTGCATGTGGCATATACGCACGCCTGAACTCCAACCGACATCAAACATATCCAATTCACGCCTCAACCAAGCAAATCGACTAGATGAGCAGGGTACTTCCATAAGACTCGTAACGCCACTGTCCTCAAGATGCTCCAGAAGCCATAATATACATGCCCACACTTTCAGAAGAGACGAACCGGGTATCGTGCGTAGCAAAAACTCCGAGCCAGCAGTTGCCAAAGAAGAAACGGATCTGCCTGTAGCTCCGTCACCGTTCCCCAAACTTGCCATACTCCTGCTGCCACTTCAAGAGATGACGAGTCAACACATCCATCATCTCCACGCTGCTGAGGTCCTTGAAATCCTTCTCTGCAGCGGGTTGCGTCATTGAACCGCCTTCCAGACCGGCGCTCTCGATAGCACTGGAGAGGAGTTGATTCTCGCTCAGAAGTCGGGTGATCCCGTTCGGCCGGTCATCATTACCCGGCGGGGTGATGCTCTCCCCTGCGACAGCCATTTCCACCTGCATGCGTGAAATGAACTCCAGAATCGCCGTCACCCGTCGCTTCATCTCGTTCATGGTAGTTCGTTGGTTCACGTAGCGGGGCCGGCTGGGCTTGCCCGATTCACTGCTGTTGATGTGTGTCCCGTTGACACCCACCCGCGGCGAATCCCCTCCTAGATCATGCGACTGTCCACGCCGCGGCGACCGTGTTGTTGAGTCGGTGCCGTTGGTATCACGATCGCGAGTATATTGATTCCGTCCGATGCGACCGCCACGGCGTGCAGGCGGGCGGCCGGATTTGCGAGTGGACGGACGCGAAGGTGCAGCTTCTTGGGCAGGGGCAGGCGTTTCCTCCGGACTGGGCTGCTTCGGTTCGGGTTCGCTCGCATTGGGCTTGGTTGGGGATCCTGCTTCATGGTCGGACTCGGCGTCTTTGACGGTTAGCCTAATAATATGATATTGACGATTTGAGCAGCACCACTCACCATCACCCTTCTGTCGCTCCGAACGGCTTTTCCTACGAGGTGGAGCCTCTGGCTGCTCCGCTTCGGGTTCTTCAGGTTCTTTGGTTTCCTTATCACGCTGACTGCGTGAAGCGGCTCTCTGCCGCCGGACGCCATTGGTGGCAGGTTTCTTCGACTCATCCTCCGAGACAGGCTGTGAAGCAGGGTTACTTTTCGAAACGGCACCCGGCGAGGGAGAGCTCGTGCGTTGTCGCTTAGTCGCTTGTTTTTGTCTATTGTCGTGTTAGCGTGATCACCAGTGCGACATTCAACGAGCAATGTTCAACGTACGCTTCACTGTCACTGCGACTTCTCTTGGGCCTCCGGGCCGCAATATCATCACCAGCTGGTTTATTATCCTCTTTGCTCTCTTCGATGGCCCGCCGCAGCTGTTCTTCTTCGTCATAAGCGGCATCACGGCTATTCATCGTTGACCGTCTCTTAGGATTGGTAGGATCATTGTGTCGTGGTTTTGGTTCCTTGGCACGTCTGGATGTTTCCCGCGATGATTCTCGCGACGAGGGAGCAGTAGAAGGGGGAGGAGCGACAGGAAGGTACTGAGACGAATATGATCTGCGAGATCGTAAGCGAAAATGCCACATGCTGAGAAATAGCGAATAACCAGAGACGACAACACAAGCGACCAGCTTGAAAATTTAACTCTGGCAGCAAGAACAGAGACGCAAAAAGGATCGAGGAGAGAGAAAAGGCATCCGCTTACCCGTTTGTTTCGCTGATGATTTTATGGAGGTCCTTGCGACACTCTTCACAAAAGTACTCATCGGGGCTCATAGCCTCGTCCATAATCCCCACACAGCCACCATGCTGCCAGACTTTGCACGAATCACATTGGATAAACATGCTCCCGATCTCGTCTGGCAACAAGTCTGATGCGTCTGCGGTAAGATTGAATGCCTCATCTTTAATACCGGCACGCAAACCATTGCGCCGACTTAGGTCACGTCGAGAAGGAGGCAGACCCGGGTACTCCTGTTGTCCACACAGACACCGGGTAATCTCTTCCTCTTCGTCCTCTTCTTCCCCGTCATCGTCGTCACCATCCTCGAGTCTCATATGATGATCATTATCCTCCTCCCCCCGAGCACGCTGTCGCTGGCGTGTTTCTCGAAAGTCACTTTTCGAGCCTGTGTCGGCATCGTCGATCGACTGGGACCGATTGGTGGAGGAACGCTGAGGGGAGGAGATTTTATGATTCGACCGGGTGCTTCTTTCGCGAGCCATGGAATTGGAGGAGCTGGAGGAGTTTGTATGCTGAAGAATAGCTGGAGAGGGCTGGTTGCGTGCACGAGAGGAACGACGAGGCGTCATAATGGAGGGAAGTTATTAGTGGGGGAGAGGGCAGAGCGACCGAACTCTGACAATAAAACGGTCGTAAGGTATGGAGAGGAGGGAGGAAAAATAGGATATGGGTTCAGAAAGAGAGTGGACAACGTCAAGGCGAAGAAACCTGCCCGTGAGCGAGCTGTCGCACACGGGTGGAGAGCTGAGGGAGTCGACCACGCCTCAGACAAGTGGTTAAGGATGACAAGAGATGCAGCAGAGGGAAAAAAGCCGGCAAGTCAAGGACAGAGGAATGCCAATTGGAACCAAAGGAGAAAAGACATCCAAGAACTGCGCCTGCGAGCTTGAACGAAGACCGAGGACTACATAGTCTGTGAAATTGCAGGAAAAGGGTTGGTGGGGAGGAGAAAAAGGAAGAGGAGGAGCGAGAAAGAGGAAACGGACCCAGAATGAGAGCGTGAGTGACGGCCGGCCGCCGGAACGGGTTTTGAGCTGCGCGCCTTTGCGGTCAACGCGCATTGGCCGTTTCCCCGCTCTATTTCTCTCTCTTTCTCCCCTCTTTGTCTCTGCGCGCGCGCTTTTCTCATCGACTTTCACTCTTCTCGCACGACTTATTGATCGATACTTATGGGGTGACCCATTTCTCACTAATGTGTACTCTAGTGAAGCCGTCCTCTCCCTTCTCCTCCGCCAATAATGTCGATCGGTGATCAAGCCGAGCGGAATGCGATGATGACATTCATGCCAATACTGTCCCCCAAAACCCCGCTCACCTCTCTGCGTTGCTTTGTGGCCAGTAACCCGGGATCATCGTCTTCCGTTTTGAATACATCTCTCTTTTATTCTACTTGAATCGTTGCCCCATTTCGACTGATGATGACCCAAGCGACTGCTGATACCCATCGCCACGGACATTACTGGGACAAGATCGGAAATTTGAGACCTTGCTGACTAACCCACACAGTGGCAGACTCGTGAGTCCACCATGGCTCCTACAACATCCTTCATCTTCGTGTCGGTTTAGGAAAAGATTCAGGTTGATCCAGCTCAGCGATAGCGATCTCCTTGTATCACCCCACTTCTTCCGCGATCATACAGAGCCTACCAGACTACGCCGTGTGTTCGGGTGTACGGGTCAAGATACAGCTCACCATGAGCTGTTATGGGGTCGGTTCACACAGTTGGCGCCATATGGCAAGAAGATCTGGGTATATTGTGGCTTCTTCGAAGAAGAGCTGGCTGAGGATATGATGAGTGCCACGGGCGAAAGCACGTGTAGTCACCGACAAGCGGATATTAAGAGAGGCATGGGTTAGACTAATGGACCGAGGGACGCAAGGCATGTCGGAGCCTCCGTATGCTCAACATTTGCAGTGTACCTGGACAAGCCGACCAGATTATACATAGCTTAATTAGGAGAACTCAGGTCCTTGCAGGGAAGGAATAAAGGATGCGACACTGCAGGACAGGCTAGACACATTTGGGAGGAAAACTATTCCGCATCGTATAAGGAGAGCTAAACATGCGCGGTATTTCCCCGAAAGAGATTGCCCGCGCACCGCGTCGTGTATGAACCACGATCGGAGGAGGAGAGACAGTGACTCGACTCCGGAGTAGATAGTTGAGGCTTTGGGGCGCACTCTGGCCTAAACGGGACTAGCGGCACCACATTGCAGCCTTAGGCAGCCGTAGGTATCCGCTCGGCCCAGAAAGGAAAGCGGATTAGTTATGGGGAATGACTTATTCATCTAATTATTATCCACGAGCCATTCGATTCCCACCCCTCCGCCATCTTCGTCCCCTGTTGCCTTCCCCTCTTCTGATTGCTAGTTTACTTGTTTAATTCCCCGGGATCGGCTATCGCTGCCCGTCTACATTAACACCCGTTTCTGCCCTTTTCCTGTCCCTCTTTTGCGTGGTCCGGGGTTGAACTGGTTTCGATTGTCGGTCCTTCCTTGCCGACACCTCGGGTTGAGTCGTCAAAAAGTCTGCGTGGGCGATATCGGTGCATGGTCTCCTACGTAAGTCCCTTGCTCTGTCCCGGGGATCCTACGAGTTCAACTCTGGCTGTTGAGACTGGCGGGGACCTTGGATGCCCTCGTGGCTGGTCTCCCTCCAAACTCTGTGTGGTTCCGGGTGCCAGCGTTGGGAACATGACAACTGACTTGTGGGTGCCAATCCAGTGCGGTCAAGGGTCATCTCCGTATTGCTCCTCCAACCACCCCCTCCCTCCTCTTCCCTCCGTATCCACGCCGACCAGACGGAACTGGCTATAGAGTATCGAGTTGGGGATAGGTTGGCCATCGAGGAATCATAACAAAATTAATTGGAGGGAAGGGTTGTCTCTAAATTAAAGCAAAGGGAACCATCCGGGGAACTTGCCGGGTTGGGCTACAAGGAGGCAAACCGCCATTCGGCTGTGGTTGTGGAGGTCGAGAGAGAGAGCCGAGAAACTGCCATCATGACTGCTACGCTGAGTATGTCTTTTACCAAGGATGTTTGTTCCTCCGGGGAAGTAGCGTCTGGCCTTGTTGGTGCGTACAATTGACGGGTTGTCCCCCGATGATGGATCCGCGAATTCCTGGGCGGATCTCGAAATCAGGGTTCTGCTGGCTGCTCAGTTGCTGATACTGCTCACCTGCAGATGGGATGTTTAATTCGGCCCCAGATACACCGTCCCCTGTCTACCCGGATAGGCTCATCCGCCCTCTGCCCAAGCGTACCCTCCGCTCTCGCCTGTCCTCTGAAGCGGCCGACTCGATCCTCTTCCCACCGGCCCCTCCTGCCACCCAGCTGTTCTACGGAACCTCTGTGGACAGCGCAGACATAGTAAATGACACCAAAGTGTATGTGCAGCAGAGCGACGGTCGCGACCAAAGCCCTGAGCGTGACCATTTGCCGTATGAGAATGGGGTGGAGTTGGAGAGCGGTGATGAGGATGGGCCCGTAGTTGTGCGTCGAAGTGCTGGTTTCCGCGGGTCGTCATTGTCTCCCTCTGCCGCCTCCGGTGCCCCTCAGACGCTGCCCAGCAACAGTGAAGGGCCTCTAGTGAAGTCCTCCTCGGCGGGTCCCGATGGGTACGATGCGTTTGAGAACACCAACAACAAGAAGAAGCGCAAAATTCCTACACCAGGCAATCTCAGCAGTCACCACTCCACCCTCTCTCCAGAGTTCTCCAGCATGGGCCTCGCGACGTCTTTTCAGTCCCCTTCCACTGCTGGCGAAGGCAGCCATGTGAGTACCTTCTATGGCACGGGCAGCCCCGCGTCTCCGATCTCCAGCGGCATGTCCGGTGCGGGACGAGGTCGCCTTGGCCGCCAGCCGCAGCGTGGTAGCACAGGGAGGAACTCCTTATCGCTTCATTCTCCAATCAGTTGGCCTCGGACACCTACACGGCGCGATGGCCTGTTGTCGTCCCCGGGACCAGCAGGTATGTTTCTGTTGTGTGTCTGACCGAGTGTTCGGGCTTCGCTTACGCACGTTTAGGTGACTCCGCCCCGAAGCCAGACCAGGGCATAATCTCCGCCGCTATCGCCAATGCCGCCGCTTCAGCATTCTCCTCACCTCCTCCTGGACCCGGTCATGTCAGCATGCTCGAACGACAAACGCCTACGCCGACCAAGACTCAGTTCACCTTCACATGTGAGTCGGACTCGTCGAAGGGAATGGCTCTGCAGGCACAGAACCCGTACCCTGCACAGCATCGTTCACCCAGTGCTCTCACTGCAGCTGTCCAGAGCCAGCGGGGATATTCACAAGGCACCCAGACGATCCCAAATGCCGCTTCGCAAGCCAACTCTTCAGGGACGTCTCAACAGTCACAGCACTCGCAACCGCCGCAACTACAGAATGCGGGGACTGAGCCTGCAACCACAGGGAGGAAGAAGAAGCGGTCTCCGGGTAGCCTCTACGCTCTGGCCGCGCGTCAACGCAAGATCCAGCAGCAGTATGCCAACCTTCACCATCCGCCCAGCATCGAGGACATCTGGATCTGCGAGTTCTGCGAGTACGAGAGCATCTTTGGGCACCCGCCTGAGGCTCTCATTCGCCAGTACGAGATCAAGGATCGCAAGGAACGGAAACGATTGGCGGAGAAGAAGCGGTTGCTCGAAAAGGCCAAGATGAAGGGCCGTAAGGGCAAGAAAGCGACTAAGAACGCCAGCAAGCACGCAGCGGCTCAGCACGCAGCCTATGACCAAGGTTACGACCGAGCGTCCGTGGATCATTCTTCAACCGGAGGACCAGGGGTGCATGATGACGAGTATTTAGGCAACGAGTACGAGGACGAGGGGATCCCAACCCCACCTCCAGCGCCTCCAGGTACCGTCAAAAATGCACTACCACCAGGACATCCGCCCAAGCCAGCCGCAGCAGCAGGGTCGGGCGCTAAGAGTGCAGCGGACGGCGGGACAAGGCCGCCCTGACAATGGAGCAACGGCTATCGAGCTAGCGAGCGGTGATAGGCCGTTGCACACTCTTCCTTTCGGTTTTCTCTTTGACTGTTTTCGATTCAATGCATGCCTACTTTCTTCCACAACTATTAATTGTTTCTTTTATTTCTTTTCCATTGCATGATTGTGTTAGCCTTCTGCTTTTCTATTTGCCCATTACTTGCATGAATGAATCCCCGCTCCGGTCGATGAATGTCACGTCAGCGTCACACATGAATATTTCAGGTTCAGGTTGGAATTGTTGAGCAGCATCAATGCATATTGGAGAATATGATTGGATGAAAGGCGGATGGGATGGACGGACAGATGAGAATCAGGTGTGTTCGAGGTCTCGGTATTATGCATGCAGAGAGAACATGGATGGATGGATGGATGGATGGATGGATGGATGGGATGGAACGAATTGGTGATACTATTTTAGTCCGTAGCGCTAATGTAGATCAGATCCCACGATGAGAGATGGGATGAGAGAGAAAGAAAGAAAAAAAGAAAGAAAGGAATCCATGTTCTGCTCTGTTGAAGATTGATCGTTCCACTAGCCGCCAAGCGTAACCCCAAATCTCCCTGCTGACCAACCCTGTTCCAAGCTTCTAAACTCCAAGAAGGGCACGGCGCTTCGCCCACCAACCATACACTCCACTTCCCCATGATCAACGTATTTACCGTCCCTCTGCAGCCCTGAAACCATGATTGCATGAACTGGCGCGCGCCCAACACAGCTGTCAATCAGTTCCTCCATTTCTAGAAGGAAGTATACAGTTTACCGCCGATGGGCATGGCAGTTTCAGCCCATTGACACGAACCAAGCTTGCGAGTGTGTAATTGGATGATGGATCAGGTTCTGCTGAAGATGTTGATGTTGATGTTGTTGATGAGGATGATAAAAATAGATGTTCTGGATGTCTTGGTATTGGGTGGATGGTTATATAAAGAGAGTGCAGAAGGGATGGTATGGTTTGGATACTTAGCAACAGAAGAAAGCATTCTTTATTTCTTTATTCATCACTCTCTATATCCTCAAGTTCTAAGTTTCTTTCTTCGAGAATCTCCTTTGTTTAGACAGTGTCTATTGTTTCGACGTGAACGATCACTACTTACTTACTACTACTATCTACTATTGCCATTTTTTCTTCTCTCTCTTTGATTGACCTGGCACCTTTCTACTACCACCTACTACGTGCTGCGCACACTACTCGTTACATATTTATCATCGTGGTTGATCGTGATATTTTATCTTGCGCTGGCGCAATAATCTCCCATCTCGACACAACATACACACATACACATCTCTCTCCCTTCCTACTAAACCACCACCACCACCACCACCACCAGCACCACACCTAAAACAGAAATAAAAAAGAACAACATAATGTACCTCCTCGCCTTCCGCCTCATCCGCCGCATCTTCTCCAAATCCAAGAAATCCAACAACAATCAAGACCCCAACGGAATCAACCTCGACTACCCACCCCCACCACCATCCAACATCCCCCGGCGGCCCCGTCTAAAGCACTACACGGAGCTCTTCTTACACATCCTGCAAGCCGTCTTCGGCCTGACCACCATAATCCTCTACGGAATCGACATCCACCATGCGCACGAAAAGTCCGAGTCGGCAGATGCACGCTGGGTATACGCCATCGTGACGGGGATGATGGGGTGCGGGACGGCGCTATTCTACCTGGTTATGATGCACTGGGTGTTGAAGACACGGACGCCGTTGGCAATGCGCGAAAGGTGGAATCTGCCGCTGTTTGTGTGGGAGGCGGTGTTGTGCGTGTTTTGGTTGACGCTGTTTGGCATCTTTGGGAAGTTGTATATTGGGGATTATGAGGATAGTAGTAAGGTGACGAGGATGAGGCATGCGGTTTGGGTGGATTTGGTGGATTTGCTGCTGTGGGTGGGAACGGCGTTGTGGAAGGGGATGAGGTGGTGGAGGGGGCAGAGGGGGGTGTTTGGGGTTGATGGCGTGGAGGAGAAGGAGGGGGTTTAGATGGGTTTGATTTTGGAATTGGGTTTGTTGGGGAAATTGGTGGTGATGTTGTGAAGGGGAAAGGGGATGATATGGGAGGGATGTGAGAGAAGAGGAACAGATGGGTTATGAGATTGGTGGGAGGATTCTTGGATAATTATTGTATTTTGTATTAAGGACTGAGTGCATGCGTCGACGCATGAGTAATGTCTTGAGATCTTAAAAGATGGCCTTGTATCGCATATTGCATCTTTCTTTCTGATCGAGATGTCAGGTCAGTACTCGTCTTCTCTTATCATACTACTCTCTAATCTCTTCAATGACCTCTTCCGTCTCTTGCTGACCCTCTTCTCCCCCATGCTGTCTACTCTGCTCGATCATCGCACTAAGCTGGCTTTGTCTGCGTGGCATCGAAAAGTTGGTCAACACTGGAGACACTTCCTCGTCCGTACTGCCCTGACTGTCAGTTGCAAATGAATCATCATGGTTTGAAAGCCGCTGGAAAGGAACAGCAGAGCTTGGAGCTGTGGACGCCTTTCCGTGTGAGTCCCCGAACCGGGATGGGGATGGTGTGGCATTAGTGACAGTGCTGCTTGATTCAGCCCGTGCTGGTTTGGGTGGTGTCGTCTCGGGTTCAGTTTCTGGCTTCGGCGTTCCTAGAGAAGAAACAAGGACATGTTCTTGGCGTACTCGATCCGAGAATCGCTTTCGGAAGTTCTTGTCAACAAGTTTCATGCTAGATGGTTGCTCGTAGTTCTCCGCCGACAGATATCGTGCATCATAGCGGCGACATCCAGTAGCTGAAAAGAAGTTGGGTTCAGGTAGGGAAGGTTCGACTGAATAAAATGCTCTGCGACGTGGAGGTGGCGGCTTAACATGTGCCTCCTCTGGCCGATCCGTGTCGAGAAGCTCTCTTAAATCAGATACAAACAAATCTGGGAGTTTTGGGGGTCTTTCAACTTGTGCTTTTTCATCCTGGGCTGGATCTTTCTCGAGTATGTCGGCTGCAAAAAGGCCCTTTCCGGGAATTTCGGTCTTCGTATCTCTCAGGGATACGGCAAGGTCTGCACGAGATTCGCTATGGCTTCTTGTCAAAGGCTCCGTTTCATCCAGTTCATATGCACCAACGGTGGCCTTTGACGCACTGCCAAGTTCCTGAATTGGTGGGTTTGGGGTATATTCCAGAGTCAGCTGCGGTGAGCCTGGTGGTGGACTATGGGCACGGGTAGAACTGGTACCAGACGACTGCTGTGAGGACTTGCGCCGTATGATCACAGGCCGACGCTTGCTGTTCTTTGCCTTGCTAGCCACAAAAACCGCTTTCTTTTGCGTCTGTCGGGGCGCAGTGTCTACCATTGTAGGCACTGATGGAGGAACCGGTGTAGGGGGATTTGATGGTTTGCGGGTGGTACTCTGACCGTCAATGTTGGTTAGGAGCAGACGAGTCGTCTTATGTGTTTCTCCGCTGGAACTTCCGTTTCTAGGCTTCTTGAGTATGGGGTGAAGTGGTGCCTTCCCGTTGTTACCAGCCGGCCTCCCAAAGCCCCCTTCATGATTCCCCTTGGATGACTGAGCTGCTTGAGCTGCTTTGGTCGCCTGTCAAAGTTAGCACATGTTCCCATCACTGCCAAAGTAGGCCGCGATAACCCTCGCGATAACCCTCACCTTGCTCAACTGCACCAAACTAAACGGGTTGGGCTCGGAAATACGTAGGAACAGACTGGCCAACGTAGTTCCCAAGAGAGTATGGTTCAGACAACGACTTCCCCATATCCTCCAGAAAAAGTTCTCCAGCCTGTATCCCACGTCGTCATCATGCGCTGATGGATTGGCACTGTAGACTATTGCGCTATGAGCCACGTTGCATTCGCGACAGAGGAAGGCGCAGGACAAACCCACCTTTCCAAAGCTGCACGACATCCCCAACATTCACCGGACCCACGCCATCCAGCTCCGTTGATACCTTTGTTGCCGTGGTCAGCAAGCCTTTGGGGAGACTTTCCATGGTGAGAGATGCCAAGGCCGCAGTCTAGCTCAAAAGTAAGTAAGGCCCCAACTCAGCTACATGATCAAAGAAACAACGAGGCAGAAGGTTCGCATGTGAGAGAATGTTGAGGTCAGTACCAACAGCACCGCCCGGTAGATGCTGTCAGTGTTGCGTCTGGCGGTGAATTGAGGGGCAGGGTCGCCCGCCAAACGCAGGGGGGGTGGGAGGAAAAGGGATCCTCCAGGAGGGAAGTAATCGATCGCGATAAATGGCTGGTAAGAAGAGGGCAGGCCAGCGAAGAAGCGAGTCAGGGGAGATTCTGTTGTATTTGAAGAGGGCGTTGGTTGGTGGGCGGGACTGGGGGAGGGATCAGCTGCAAGGGCAGGAGCGAAGACACGCCAGAGATCTTCAACCTGCAGGGCTTAATAGTCGTTGAGGCAAAAGATGGCCGCGTCCAGGTGACCCTGCCAGGCCCCATCCAGGCAACATCATCTCCCCTCTCTCCCCATTCATCCACTCGCTACCCCCATTCCACTCATTCGTTCATTCACTTGCGCCGCGCTGACTGCAGCCTGCAGGTCTGCATTCCCCAGGGGGAGGTAAAAGTTGACCTGTCCGTTTTGCTGCCTTATTCCGGAGCTTGCCGATGCTGCCCAGTGAATAGGAAACAAAAGAAACCATCCGAGACAGCACAGGCCATCATGAACAATAGTGCCCAAATGGGCGGATCCCGCACCTCAAATTCAGTGAACTAGCTGTGGTACTGACCCAAAGCACAAATGAGTCGTCACAGAAAGATGGATCACACTGTTCGGAACCATGGTCATCAGCAGTCATCCAACCAGGACGGATGGAACCAATGCTGCCATTCATTCTTGTCGGATTTACCAGCAAACATCACGACACCCGCTGTTAGCGCCCCCCGTGACCAACGGCATCCAAAAGATCTCCCAATCGGAGGCCCCCGATTGGCTTCGGGACCGATTCTCTCTCCCTCATACTCCGGGTTGCCATCGTTCAAGGGGCTACACTGGCAAGGATCCAGGAAGAAACAAGCGGACGACCGACGATTTGTTGGACCCCCTATATATGACTAAGCTATGCGCATGGGAGGGAACGCAAACATCGCAAGTGAACACAGCGGCCAACTCGAGGACACCGCGTGGCCCGACTTCCCTGCAGGGACTAGCTCCAGGATCTCTTTGTTCTACAACACCCGTTCCTACACGAGATGAAGTCAGCTTACCTACTCGCGCAATCTATGTGCCACCGCCAACATGCCGAATCACTCGCAATGGGTTCGCGCAGTGCTACCCTTGCAAATTCGAGGCAATGCTGAGACCTCTTCCCGAAGGGATGAGAGTAATCCTCCTCTCGCGGTAAGCTGACAGCCACTCGGCGATGAATCTGCATTCTGATTCACACATATTCTCCGCTTTGGAGTCTCCGAGGAATGCAAGTCATCCCCACAGGCGCCAATAGGCTTGAACAAAGCATAGTTATTGGTCGGGATTCTGATTTCACGTATTCCTAGGACTAACCAAGTCTCCCAATCTCTAACAGATCAATCTTCTCTACTCCCTTATGAAATCATATTGCGACCTATACTCTCCAGCAAGGTAGTATTGTCATCATTCCGCTCATGCTCCACGCAGATCAGACATTCCGATCAGCTCAATTCCCCGATCTGACAATGATTGACATTGGCTTCTTCGTTAATCCACCATTGAGGGAAGGTTTCCATGACAAGCTCCAGAGTTGCGTCATCGAGTGTCACGTCCACACAACGATGTATTTAGTAATCGACGCTCACTGTCCCCAAGCACTGGAAAACCTGTTCACATATATTCTGTACATGACCTAGCATCACCCCCTCAAGCCACAAAGCCAGTTCCATATAAGCTTAGCCCACATGCCACGAACAGGAATGCCCAGGTTGTGAAGAATGGGTATCGCCCGCTTTAAGGCTCGGGCCGTAAGAGTTCAGTTCAATCTACAGGGATTGTTTCTTGGTAACTCGCTCGGAACTCACAAGCGTCATGCTTTACAGCCGAAGACGAAGACAGACCCAGAACAAACTGGGGGTAAAAACGGTTCAGGACGCTACACGTATCTGCTTCCAATGCAACACGACATAATCCATTCCAGTAAAAATTCACTCCATCCAATCCTGTCTAAAGTCTAACCGAGACAGATAATCCACATGTCCAGCCGCCAGCGATGCATACCGCCAGACATCAGGATACATATCCACCCTATCCGAGATCTGCAGACTTTGATTTGCGAATGTAAAAAGCACTTTCAGCCTCACAGAATCTGCGTCCACCAGATCCTCGACGAGTCGCTGAAACAGAGCCGCTACATAGTCGATCTCTTCACCTGTTATTTGCTCATTCTCATATGCGGCTGTCCCGTCCAGGATGCAGATGACTTGTATATTTGGAGGAACCTGCAGAACGAGTCGTCGGAATAGCTCACAGAGCGCTTTGATGTTGTTGCTCTCACAGGCGTTGAGAAACCCTCTGCCTAGAAACTGTAGGCTTGGCGTGGCAAGTTTGTCGCTGAAGAGAAGCTGGGTGATGAGACTTCGCATCATCCCTGTCGGGCCGCCGAGTTCGGGATCTTCTTCTTGACCGTCGTGTAGTGATGCGAAGAAGAATAGAGGTAGACAGTCGGGACTGCTAATCAGGCTGTATATGAATGTTGAAACGAATATTGACATTGGAGTGACCATTATTGCTGGATTGGTATCCAGACGGCCGTCTACTAGAAGGAGTGATGCTTGTGGGGCCCGAACCCATTCAGTAAACTCATCGGTTTTGGCAAGCCATCGCACACGTCCGAGGTATGAGGATTTAAATCTACTGCCTTCTTGGAGAACGATCTCAAGGTCATGGGCTGCGGTATGTGGTGAGACGCCCAAGATCCCGAGTAGTTCGATTGGGGTGACTATTGAAGATGTTGAGTCTCGAGAGTTTGTGCTGCTAAGCGAGAGGGATGACTGAAGAGCTTCGTTTTCATGTGCCAGGTCCGA